GACTTAAAAATTTCATAAGGCTAGACTTATGATCAACACATATGAATTTCATAATCGTGACTTATGAAGATTATACGATTATATGTCATTATTTTACCATTCTTAACCAACCGTTCAACCATTTATTTTCCCAAGCGTTGAAAGCTGAGTGGTCAACACACGGGCCGCGTACTCCCAACGGTTCCTGTCTGCTCGGATTTACTATTTTTTTGTCAACAATATTTTTCATATGCAAATCAGTGAAATTCATTCCGAAATTCATTCATAATTCATGTTTATTATGGAATTCTTATGTTTTTTTTTTTTTTTTTTTTAACTCTTTATTTGTTCCAAATTCAAAATAAATTACATTTCATTTTAACCTAGGTGCTCCAGTTACTGCAGTAACGTACCAGCCTTAATTGTTATGATATATATCTAGGTGTTTTTACATTGTTCATGTCTTGGCAATTCAGTATTTTAAACAGGTTTTTTAACCTGCATGTCAGTATAACAATTGATATCTTAAAACTAAAAACTAAAACTAAATCTTATCTAAGTATAAAGGGAATTAATCGTTGCAATTGAGGATTGCAACGATTTTTGCCTGAAATTATTAATTATTTTGTTGGACATTTGTGCTAAAGTCTCAACATTCGAAATTCTATGTACTTCGGTTGTACTGTACCAGGGAGGCAACTTCAAAATCATCTTCAGAATTTTGTTCTGAATCCTTTGAAGTGCTTTTTTCCTGGTAGTGCAGCAACTAGACCATATTGGTACAGCGTAAAGCATGGCCGGTCTAAAAACTTGTTTAAATATTAGAAGTTTATTCGTCAGGCAAAGTTTGGATTTCCTGTTTATAAGAGGATACAAACATTTAATATATTTGTTACATTTGGCTTGAATGCCCTCAATGTGATCTTTAAAAGTTAATTTTTGGTCAAGTATTAATCCAAGATATTTCACTTGGTTTGACCAGGAAATTGGAACTCCGTTCATAGTGACTATGTGACTACTACTAGGTTTCAAAAACGAAGCTCTAGGCTTGTGTGGAAATATTATAAGTTGAGTTTTGGAAGCGTTGGGAGAAATCTTCCATTTTTGTAAATAAGAAGAGAAAATATCTAAACTTTTCTGAAGTCTGCTGCAAATAACACGAAGACTTCTTCCTTTAGCGGAAATGCCTGTGTCATCAGCGAACAAAGATTTGTGGCAACCCTGAGGCAAATCAGGGAGGTCCGAAGTGAAAATGTTATACAATATAGGCCCAAGAATGCTACCCTGAGGAACTCCTGCCCTAACAGGTAGTCGATTAGATTTGGAATTTTGATAATTTACTGGAAGAGTTCTGTCAGTTAAATAATTTTGAACTAATTTCATAATGTAAAGTGGAAAATTAAACTTTTTCAATTTAGCAATCAAACCTTCATGCCAAACACTGTCGAATGCTTTTTCTATGTCTAGAAGAGCAACTCCAGTTGAGTGGCCTTCCGATTTGTTTGAACGAATTAAATTGTTAACTCTTAAGAGTTGATGAGTAGTTGAATGCCCATGGCGAAATCCAAACTGCTCATCTGCAAAAATTGAGTTCGTATTGATGTGAAGCATCATTCTATTCAAAATTATCTTTTCAAAAAGTTTACTTATTGAAGAAAGCAAACTTATTGGACGGTAGCTAGAAGCTTCAGCTGGATTTTTATCCGGCTTCAAAATTGGAACAACTTTTGCATTTTTCCATTTATCAGGAAAGTATGCCAAATGGAAACATCTGTTAAATAATTTTACCAAGAAAGACAAGGTACTCTCTGGGAGTTTTTTGATGAGGATATAGAAAATTCCATCATCACCTGGAGCTTTCATATTTTGAAATTTTTTAGTTATAGACCTTACTTCGTCCAAATCAGTCCCCCAGGAATCATCAAAAATATTTTCCCGAGAGAAAATATTCAGAAAATCCCGAGCAACCTGATTCTCAATAGGACTAGTAAGACCCAAACTGAAATTATGGGAACTCTCGAATTGTTTAGCAAGTTTCTGAGCTTATTCCAAATTTGTGATCAAAATTTTACCACCTTCTTTAAGCGCTGGAATAGGCTTTTGAGGTTTTTTCAAAAATTTTTTGAGTTTCCAAAAGGGTTTGGAACTCGGGTCTAATTTGGAAATATTATTTTCAAAAGTTTTGTTCCTCAGGGCAGAGAATCGCTTTTTAATTTGTTTTTGCAAATCCCGCCAGATAACCTTCATGGCAGGATCGCGTGTTCTTTGATATTGTCTCCTACGGACATTTTTAAGACGGATCAAGAGCTGAAGATCATCGTCTATTATAATTGAATCGAATTTAACCTCGCATTTTGGTACTGAGGCAGCTCTTGCTTCAACTATAGAAGTAGTCAAAGATTCAAGAGCATAATTAATTTCATCTTTGGTTTGCAAAGGAATGTTTGGATCGAAGTTATATTCCATAAATGTTCGATACTGCTCCCAATCAGCTCTATGGTAATTGAAAGTAGAGCTGTTGGGATTACAAATTATTTCTTGGGATATTTCAAAAGTTACTGGAAGGTGATCAGAACCGAAGTCAGCATGGGTAACCAATTGGCTACAAAGTTGACATGAATCAGTTAAGACCAAATCAATAGTGGAGGGATTTCTTGCAGAAGAAAAGCATGTTGGGCTGTTTGGATATTGAATAGTGTAATAACCTGCAGAACAATCATCAAACAGAATATTACCATTGGAATTGCTTTGAGCATTATTCCATGAGCGGTGTTTTGCATTAAAATCACCAATAATGAAGAATTTAGACCTATGACGGGTAAGTTTCTGGAGGTCACCCTTGAGAAAATTCTTTTTCTGGCCTACGCATTGGAATGGCAAATAGGCAGCTATAAACGTAAGTTGTCCAAATTTTGTTTCAACAGAAACCCCCAAAGTTTCAAAAACTTTGGTTTCAAATGAAGAAAGAATTTTATGTTTGATTCGTCTATGAATAATGATGGCAACGCCACCACAGGGTCCATCAAGACGATCATTTCTATAAATCAAGTAATTTGCGTCCTTCTTAACCTTATGGGCAGGTTTAAGGAACGTTTCAGTTATAACGGCAATATGCACGTTATGAACTCTTAAAAAGTTAAATAGCTCGTCTTCATTATCTTTAAGAGATCGAGCATTCCAATTTACAATATTTAATGCTTTAAAATCCATTACTGAATTTTAAAGTCATGACAATATTATTAGCAAATTTTACTCCAGTTTGAATAGCATCAAACATGGAGTTAGATTTAAGCATATCAGAAATCATGTCAATTAATGAATTCTGTAAAAATTCCATTTTGGGGGCAGTAATGCTTCCTAAGTCAAAATTGTCAAAATTTCCATTAGAACGTTGGTTAGTATTTTGATTTCTACCCGCTGCAATAGCAGCATAGGTAGCTCCATTAACTCGCTGAACATTGTTAGCAGCGAGGGGAGTAGGTACAGATGAAACATTTGAAGCAGGGGAGATATTTGTACCTACTGGTACGAATGTAGAATTTGTTCCTCGCTGACCGTAGTTAACAGCAGAGGAATTTGTACCTGGTCGGAAACGTGGAGCGTTTCCTACCTGACTGTTAGAACGAGATTGTAGGATCGCTTTGCGAGTCTTACATTCCCAAAAATTGGATTTGTGGTTTTCACCACAATTTGAACATTTAAATTTCTTAGGATCTTCCTTCACAGGACAGTCGTCCTTTGCGTGAGAGGAATCACCACAATTCATGCATTTAGCTGGCATGTAGCAATTTTTAGTTCCGTGACCCCATCCCTGGCACTTTCGGCACTGGGTGAGGTTTTGGAAATTTCCTCCAGTCTTCCTGAAGTGTTCCCACTTCACTCGGACATGGAGCATAAGGCTAGCTTTTTCTAAGGTCTTAAGGTTGTTTAGTTCACTAGACTTGAAGTGAACTAAATAAAAATCATTAGAAATCCCGTTGCGCGAATCGCCAGGACGGGATTTCATTTTCATTTTGATTACTTGGAGTGGCACAACTCCAAGTAATTTTGCCAGTTCATCTTTGATCTGATCCAGTGATTCACCACTGGGCAGTCCTTTCATGACAACCTTGAACACACGTTCAGTTTTGGTGTCGTAAGTAAAAAATTTGTGCTTCTTCTCAGTAAGATACTTGAGAAGACATTTAAATCCGTCCAAGGTTTCAGCCAATACACGGCATTCACCCCGACGTCCAATTTGTAGTGAAAACTTAACTTTCACGAAATTCAAAAGTTCCATGCGAAGAGCATGGAAATCGGAAGTGGTTATCACAATAGGGGGAATCTTTTCCTTCTTGGCATTAAGCCGGGAAAGTTTACTAGAATTTTTCTTGGATGATGGATCATTCTCATCATCCGTGAGCAAATCAAATTGATTACTCAAATTAATTTCATCAGAAGGGGGGTCAAGAGTTTGCCCCTTTCTTTTGCGTTTAGGCGCCATGGCGGCAGTAAATTTTTATCCAAATCGACTTCCAAGCAGATTACTATAAGAATCTGAAGGATCGAAGAGGAATTTTCCAAATCGATATCCAAGAAGGATTACCTCGGGTAGGGTCCAAACAAGGATCGAAGAAGAATAAGAGTTGAAGAAGGTAGAAAATTTTTACAGGTTGAGCACTGAAAAGTGCTGTTTAAATTTGTTGTAGCTTTAGGTAGTAGTAACACTTCCTTCAGCAAAAAGCAAATAGATCCGCACGGCAAGAGAGCACGATGCGGACTGAATTCTTATGTTCTTTTGCCTCAGTGTATCATTATCTTAAATAAATTAAAGTAAATTTGGATGGGTGTTTTTATATCACATACAATGATAGAAGAGCAATAGTTTGTATCGCTTAACTCGATTTGATTACATTTGTTACTTAGTACCTTTTGAAAAGTGACGCGAGAATTCTCCAATTTGGTTGGCTGTTTAGAGAAAGAAATAAAGGAGAATGTAGGATTTATACTAACGATAAGTTTCAATTTTTTTTTTATTTCAGGGTACCACAGTGCTCCGTTGCAAAAGGAAGTGATCGGTTAGACTTTTATCCCGTAGCCATTGATTACGGATTACCTTCGTGACTTGGCGGAAAGTACATTCAGGTAAGTGCGTGGGAGCGACGGCCTAGTTCGATACATTTTCTTCCAATTTTGGACGACGCAGTTGACCTTGGGCCCATCGCTAAACATTTGCTATTGATCAATTTTATCTAGATGAACGTGTCATTGGGACGGTACTAATGAATATTTTTGGTTGCTATTGAAAATTTAGTCGATTGCTGAATTTATGTATGGACCCAAATAAGGAACACTTAGGCCGACATTACATACATTTCCCCTAGTTAATATATTGATTTCAGCACACTTTTCCATGAAATCATTTTTGTCGTCTCGAATTGTTTGGCAGAAAATTGAATACTCAACACAAGGTGCTTACTTTAAAATTAAATATTAATTACAACATAACGTATAAAATAAGTTTGGCAATGCATCTAGTACGTGCAACCGTCGCAACAATAGCCAACAGAATGCCGGTGAAATATGCATCTGGCTCATTCCAGGTTAAAACCTTCCAACTTCGCTCATACTCTGTTTTAAACATGTCATTGCACTCTAATGCTCCATAAACGGATCATTCTAACGGCGCCGGTGGTGTAGTGGTAAGCGTGATTACCTCTCACCCCAGCAGGCCTGGGTTCAATCCCAGTCGGCGTCGTCGGGATGTTCTGAGGCATAACATCTCTGATCACGCCTTCCTGCGGATGGGAAGTAAAGCCGTTGGTCCCAGGTTCATGAGTTGATGGGTCGATAGGTAGGGTCCAGGTGTGGGAGCTGCCTTCCTGGCACGTCGGTAGCATTGGTGCTCAGCACGGAAAACAAGATCGACGGAAAAAAACAAACCAAAGGAAAAGAAAAAAAAAATAAACGGATCATTCTGTCCGAGACAAAAGCATCGTTCGGGATTCTGTCTTACGTTTTGATTTGTGTTATTCCGTTACACGAATTTCGTTTCAATCTCGCAAATGTTCATTTTCTGTTTCTAGAGCTGTGCGCGGTGCGTTTGTCGGCAGAAATCAAACACGATACACTGAACAATATTTTTAGTATATTTTATTCACTACGTGAAATAATATTACGCTTTGGCTCTCAATATTCTTGACTATGATGGTCAGTCAATCGAAATATTTAAGTAACCATTTATTCTACACAGATAAAATAAGTAGTGTAAATTTCCGTTACTATGATGCACATAAATGGAGCGTCATATATCATACAAGTTTAGATTATAGATCGTGTAAATTTATGAGACATATCATGGAATATTTCATATATTGTATGCAACTGTCCACTTTTGTTTGCAACATTTATTGCAAGCTGCTAGTTTACGTGAAAAGGAAATTTACATGTATGAATGTTTGCATGCATGGATGTTTACATCGCCAGTAAAATTCAGAATTTTTTGGTGTGTAGCCTTCATCCCATCTACTACAGTTTAAAGTAATTTCTAATAAAAAAAGGGTTAAAGAGATGGGTGAAACAATTCAGTTCAGAGAACCGTACCTTGTAGAACCATTCGGCATAAAGAACTAGTTCCTTGGAACCGTTCTTCGCTCTAAATTAAAAAAGAAATACAAATGGCAATCATTATCTTCAATCAAATTAATAGTTTCCAAGCAACTTGTCCTACCACATAAAAAACCTATATTTTTAAAATCATTGCACTTTCAGCGCACTTTTCAACTCGTCTTTCTGGGATAATGCTCTTACGTTCGCCGTCCCGCCAAGAGATTTATTGACGAGCTCCTTAAAAGCTGCGCTCTTAACCGTAGGGTCCCTTTTCAGTTCAAATAGCATCTCGCCTTCCTAGGTTCGCATGGTTTTCACCACGTTCTCACCTAGTTGTTTCAACTCCGGACCCTCTCTCATTTTCTGGAGGAGTGCTGCGTAGCACGTTTGCTCCTTCGCCTCAACAACCAGAGCGTCACCCTTGCTTCTCTCCCTACGAGGCTTAGGCTTCTCCTTGTTCTTCCTGTCATCCTTCTTCTTCTCTTCCTTCTTCCTCACTTCCTCTTCCTTCTTCCTCACTTCATCTTCTTTCTGATTTTTTCCTTCTTTCCTTCTGGTTCGCAACTATACGCCACGCTTGCTCTCTTTGTGTATGTTGTTTTTATCCTTCATCCTCCTGACCTCTGTCATTTTGGTTCTCCCAAGCTGTAGTTCTTGAGATTTGCTACTGCTGGATATTGGTGTGAGCTGCTGGAACTCGCAGTGGCCCCCAGGTTCGACACTGGTCCTTGCAGACACGTTCGCTCCTCCATCTTCACTGTCTGGCGTCTTGCCGTCTTGACGTCTTTAATTTTTTTTTTTTGGTTTTTTCGTTTTCGTCATTTTTGTTTTTTTTTCTCCGTTTTTCTCCATTTTGTTGGATCCCCCCTCCGAGCCACTATCCCCACTCGTTGTATGTAGACGCCTATCGTGATCCCATGGTTATCTATGCAATCAGGGAGGCCATAGGGGTCCTTCATAGGGGCCATTTTCAGAGCCAGATCGGCGTAAGTCAGGTATGTTACATCTGAGCCTACTACTCACCAATCACCAATTGGTGAGGAGTTTTGAACGTATCCGGAGGCCTGCCAAGGTTTTACCGGGATGGAGGCAGCCTCACTATTAGTCCACTCGCCATTTCAGGAAGGTGTCACAATGCTTTACTCAGGGAGCAGAATAGCACGACTGTCAGCCCTGTAGCGTGGTATCCAATCCATTGTGCCGTATCGTGCCAATTATTCCATGCCGTGTCCAGTATGCCGTGGGTAGGATCTTACTGGCGTCGATCCCAACTTCCTCTATCACCGTGATAAGGTTACCGCGCCAGTGTTCACGTTGTACTATTGTCGGAAGGACAACATTGCCCAGGCTTAACAACGGGGAGGTGTGAGGTAGGAACTTGTGAGGACCAGAGCTAGGTAAAACGCTCTTCCCAGATTGTCAACTCACCATTTGTAGCCCTGTGTGTGTGTGTGTGTGTGTGTATTTTTTTTGGTTAGGAGGAAACCTTCAAAAGGCCATCATGCCACCGCTTGACGACTGGGCACACGGTCGCGGTGACACGGTGTTTGGGATTCTTACCGCACTAAAACCTCCTTGGTCGCCTTGCCCTTTTTCTCCCAGAACCACTTGTCGTATTACTTTGTAGGGGGCTGTGCATTACGCACCTCACTTTACCTCAGCTAACTGGCGCTTCCACTTCGATGATCGTCTCTTCAATTTGTGAGCCATTTAGCTCCCAGCGTCGCGTTCTACTCGGTTAACCCCGGTGGTGGATTCAGCCTACTCTGACGGAGAGTTCTCCCGGCTTCGGCTTTCAGTTCACACTTGTGTGAGTACATTACTACTTTGTAGCTGGTCTTCTCGCCATTTTCGCTGCAGCGCTGACATGATCTGCGTTACTGCTCTGCTGACGGCGTTAAAGATGCCCTCTCGCACAGTGTCCGAACCGATGCAGGTACTTCCTGAAGCACCCATGACCAGACAGGAACTGCGTCAAGTGGAAGTTGACTTCTCCATGCTTCCTGCTCACCCCGGTCGGTATTAGCCTGTGTGTCAATCTACCGTTCTCTGCTGCATCCCACTCTTGCTGCCAGTTAGCCATCGACACCGTTCTCACCATTTTTCGTAATCCTCTGGTTTCTCTCGTCATATAGCACTCGTAGTCCTCCGCCAAGGTGATGCCGATTGGCGAAAACTCATACTGCCTGCATCTGAATGGTTCTGTACGCACTCACGACTCGCATGGCCATGAGCCAGAACGTACTGCTCAATTTCCTTTGGTTCTGCTTCGTTTTCAGCGCTTCAATCCAGGCTGGTACCTTAGTATCGATGAGGACACACTAGCCAGAAGACGCCTCTTGCTGCTGCTTGGACCAGAATTGTTCGGCATGATTCTGGCTATTGCGTTGATGACCTTCGCCGCCTTCTCGCAAGCATATTCGATGTGACTATTAAAGTTTAGCCGGTCGTCGATCATCACTCCCAGATACTTTAGCACGCGCTTCGAAACAATGGTGTGCTCTCCAACGGTGATTTCTGAACGTTGCACTGCTTTGCAGTTACTGACCAACATCACTTCTGTTTTGTGATGGGCTACACACTTCGAAAAATTCGTGTAATTTTAGGTTTCCTGAGACTGACATATACGAGCGTCAAAAATGACATATTTTTACATTCGCTTATAATTTTACACGATACGAAATGTCATAAATCTGTAATTTTACGCGTTGACGATTGTATCATGTAAAATTAAAATGTGACGTAATTTTTTACTTCAACGCATAAAATTACATGTGCATTAATAATTGGGGTTTCTCGTAAGGAAATCAGATTTTTATCAGTGTAAAACTTTTCGTATACACTCTACACGACCGATAACTGAGGGTAACTGAGTAATTGAACCTAGTTTGACAAAAATTGAGTCTAATTTAACTAAAAATTTCAAAAAGTGAATATGAAGAAAATTTAAAGTGGTTTCACTCAGTACATCAGTTTACTCCTAGACTGAGTAAACTTTTCGGTGACTTTCCTTATATTTGAGAAGATTCTTGAGGAAAAACAATGAAAATTTTACTGTCTTACCAACCCATTTGTAATTGTGCGTCAAATTTGGCTTAACTTTGAGTTACTCTCATCGGTTGTGTTAATCAAAACACACAGTTTCACTTTTGTTATATTGGTTTTCCACTAGGAACCCCAGCAGTCTTAAGATGTACTTTTGTAGATTAATCCAATGGTTTTCTTAAAACCAGAAACGTAATATTACAATCTTAAAAAGATTAAGGTTATTTGTAATAATGACCAGTAACATGGATTATGAGCGAAATTTTTTACACTGAGTTATGCAACTATTATATTTTTTTTTCTTGTAATATCATAGTAATTCGTTAGTATTTTTTATTGCACTTATTAGCATTAATTGGCATTGCTGGTGAGGTATTTCTAACAATATAAAAAAAAAACAAATTTGCTCAAAAATACATTGTTTATTTTGATATTTGATCGTTGTAATATTGATCTTTTTCTCTATGCATATCTAACTATAAAAAAATGAT